GAACAGAGTGCATGGTTATTATTAAAAGCAAAACCGTCTCGATCTGCTCCATAGCCGTTAATGGTAAACAGGTGAAACAAGTCAACAGCTTCAGTATGATTACTTCAGGCTGTAAATGTGATATGGATATCAAAAGAAAAAATGAAAAACATCTTCACCAACAGTAAAATCAGGATATCAGCAAAATTAAAACTGTTAGGTTTTCTTTTGCTAACTCACTGCTCTGAATCCTGGACAACTTCAAAGAAATGAAAAAAATAACGCTGATGAGATGTGGTTTTTTAGAAAAATTTTGAAAACTAGTTGGACCTCTCATACTTCGAATGAGGATGTGTTAAAACAGTCCGGTTAGGAAAAGAGGAAATTACTTGAGATAATCCGACGGGAGCAGTTAAATTTTTTTTGGTCACATCGTGCTGAAGGAAAGAATGGAAAATCTAACAGCTACTGGAAAGATTGCAGGGAGAAAAGATCGCGGTCAGCGACGAATAACATTCGTGAAGTCCTTGTGTCACTTGTTGAATATCCCCACAATTCAACTCTTACAAAGTGTTAAAGATCGGGTTTTGTGGAGGTCGAAGGTCGCCGATGTCTTGCAAGGATAAGGCACGAGGAAGAAAGAAGGAGATATGTGTTTGTGTTTGAGTTGGAGGGGGGTAAGTTTCTCGATTTTTATTAATAATTTTAAAATAATTAAATAATAAATTTAAAAAAAAATTATTAGCCACGACAACAACGAAGCCTAACGGAGCAGGTTTTTATCATGCAGTATTATATTGCTTAATCACATTTCTTTTCAAAATTAATATTATAACAGTTTTCACTTGTACTCTGTGTATTGTTGAGACTTCTGACTTTAAGCAACAGGCCCGTGTATGGCCTATAGACATGTATCGTAGACCACTTTAGACACATCTCATTATTGTCTAATAGATCAATATTATCATTTATCACAATATTATTTGTAATCTCCTTTAAATGTTACACGAAAATTTTGTTGAAATTCAGTATTTGAGACATCAACCACAACGGCCTCAACTCCTGCAACACTTAAAACTTCAACAACCACATCTACCACAACTACCACAACTACAGTCGACTACGGTTTAGGTAAAGTTGGCCCGATAATTCGATAATAATAATAACAATAATAATAATAATAATAATAATAACAACAACAATAATATTGATAATGATGATAATATTGATGATGACGACGACGATAAAAGTAATGACAACGATATATTTAATAATTATTATTATTGTTCGATAATAATTATAACAAAAAATAATTTTTATTATTATAAATATTCACAATTAATAATAATAATTATGATAATAGTTATAATTATTATTCACAGAGGCCCTAACTGATCTGGAGCAATTTATCGGCCAGATACGTAAGACTCTATCGTTAAATATAATACAAATAACAATAATTATAACGATAATAATAATTATTATAACGATAATAATAATAATTGTTAATGATATATGGATGAATATTTATATATATATATGTCATAAAATATTTTTCCAAAAGTTCCAAACCTAACCACCGATGCTAAGAAAACCTTAGCCAGCAACATAACAAGTTTACTGAGTCAGTTGTTATTTTTGAAAAATTTTATTATTATTATTATTAATTACTATTTTTCCAAAATTTTCAACCCACGGCTTCATTAAAACGGTAAAGCTATTTTAATGGAACAGAGATTTTCAATAAAATGATGTTTAAATCAAATATATATCTAAGCATATATTTCACAAATGACGTTTCAGTATAAGAATTAAACTATAGTATAGAACTTGAACTTATAATTTACCTGGAAGCTTTTTTTTTGTTTCGCCATTGCCCAAGATCAATTTGACATATAAGGGATCACCGCACAGAAGATTAATTTGGGTATTCAATCCACCAACATGTGCCGTTATTTCAAATTTTTTTTCTTTAGATAATAAGCATCTATAGTTTATATAATGAATTCTACAATAGCACAATATTGGAAAATTAAAATCGTTTGAATAACATTTTGAAGGTAACTCCACTTATTGTCCCGGCTATTTGACAAATGTTGCCACCAAACAAGGTTGCGAATTTCAAGTTTTTCTAGCAGTTTTTGTACAAATTATGTTCATTTGTTTAATTATTATACAAACTATTTTTTTAAATTGACGAAAAATTTGTTAAATTATTGTAAATAATGTAAATTTGAAAAAATTTCTGTAATTTTAAAATAATGTTAACATGTCTATTTTTTTACTATAGCTGTGACGCCAATACCAACTCTTAGTATGAGCTTGAAGAGTTTAATCAATTTAATATTTTATTTCTTTTAATTTAGATATTTAATCAAAAAATTCATTAAAAATTAACAATATCTAAAAAGATTTCAAATAAAATTACCTTGATTTAACGCTTAATACAAACATTTTTTCAAAAAATTAATTTAAAACCGTACAGGTTACCAAGATAACATGAATTACTTCCTTGACTCCAGCTGTTAGTTTATAGTAAATTGAAAAAATTCTTCTTTCCCATCTATTTAACTATGTTAAAATACAATTATTTTATATTTTTTCATGATTTATTTATAATTTATTTATTTATTTTCTATTTAAAAAAAACATTCAGGTAACTCAGTGCTACCTGGAACAACTGATTTAATTGACAACTTAAGTCAGTTAATATTAATTAGTTTGATTGTGTGAAAATATGTTCAGATTATTAAGTATTTTCATAATGAAAAATTAAATTTCTGACATTTTCATAAAAATTTTGATAGATTTAGCTTTACAATTAACGCTAATAAAATTAACATATTAATCTTTTAATTACTTACATAGCCAACGGATCACATCACACTTCTGTATGATGAGTGAGGATTTGACTTGTGTTTGAACCCGGTTAAAGCGAGATTGGACAATTATCCAATTAGACTTTTTCACACTACTTTACACAGGAATCATTAATAACAATTCGTAGCCACAGTTGCACTTCAAATTCGTACCTACAATGAGATTAAAAATTTATTTCCACACTGTCAGATCATTAGCATTGAGAATGATTGACAGAGGATTTGAAATTTGATACTTGTATTTTGTTTTTTCTATTTTTACAGGGTTATTGTTTTATTGTGATATTTGCTTTTTCATCATTTTTCATCTTATGACATTTTTATCATCCTTCAGTTGATTCAACGCTGAGACAGCCAGGAGGTGAATATTAACATCGTGCTAATACGTGCTGTGTATTTTGAAATAATCGGAATTACTTAATTGTGTGTGTGCGTGTGTGTGTGTGTGTGTGTGTGTGTCCAAATACTTGTGTGTGTTTGTGTGTATAAATTTATAAGCGTGTGTGTTAAGTGCGTGTGTTTAGGTTAACTTTGGATTTGGTTAACTTTGGATTTTTGTCTGAGTGTCTCTATCTGAGTATGTGTGTGTGTGTGTGTGTCTATATCTATTAATAAAGACGTGTGTGTGTGTTTGTGTGTCTTCATATGTCTGTATGTAAATAAATGTAATATATGTGTGTTGTGCGTGTGTATGTCTAAAGCTTTGGGTATGTGGTGGGTGTGTTTGTGTAAGATGTTTGCTTGTGTATATAAATATAAATTAATGTGTGTGTGTATTTGGCGTATTTAAGTTTGAGTGCGTGAGTGTGTGCGCGTGTGTGTGCGCGTGCTCGCGTGTGTTTGAATTAAGGGAATGTGCTATGTTTTATTGATTAAAACAATAAACTAAATCCATCCTCTTCTACATACTGCAGCTACCAAAAGTGAGAAAATTTCGACTAGAAAAAATTTTTTTTCTCAAAATAAATTTTAATTGTATTAATAACATAGAACAATAAAATAACGTTGCTATTATTTTAATTATAATATAATATATTATGCCAGAATTAATTTTTTCATCAATAATTATTTTATTCTTTCGTCATATTTAGATATTTCAGCACTCTTCGATAAGATCTCGAACCTGCTAGCACCAAGCACGTATTTTTATTTATTTTTGAATATGAATAAAAATTGATTGACTGAGTGGATGAATGAAAGAGTGAGTGAGAGAGTGAGTGAGTGAGTGAATAGTGAGTGAACAAACTAGCGAACGAACGAATGAATGTATGTATATTTCTATGAATGAACCATTTCTTCATTTTATTCTCAATATTTGCAAGTTAGTAATGGTTCTCTAAACCCTTTATTTAATAATTTCAGTCAGCAGCGTCAACGCAACTAACATAGCCTACATCATGTGTGAGTAAATTTTTAAACTACCACTACTACTAATACTACTACTACTACCAATGTTATTACTACTATTATTACTACCATTATTGCTACTACTACCACTACTACTACTACTATTAACTACTACTACTACTACTACTATTATTAACTACTACTACTACTACTATACTTCTACTACTTCTGCTGCTACTGCAACTTCTTCTTCTACTACTACTACTGTTTCATAGTGATAAATAATAATAACAAATGTTCCATAATGATAAATGATACAAATAAATACAATTAAATACATTTAAATACAAATAAATACAATTAGATACAAATGTTTTTTCACAAATTATGCAGTATCAGACCCAGCTTGCCAGAACGCATACGTATCTGCCAAATATATCGGTTAGGGGTTTAACTGAATTCCTCAAAATCGAGATATAATAAATTTATTTTACTTATGTTATAATACAGCCTAAACTTCATGATAAGAATGAAAAAAACAATAATAACAATAATCACATCAAAATAATAATAATAATTACAATAATAATAATAATATTAGAATAACCGGTTTCGTGAATATAGCATCTCGCGTTGAGAAACAAATTAGAAAGATGCAATAATTTTTATACCATAACTCCTTGAATTTAATTACAATTGATGTTATTCAGGAATAATATAGTATTTTACTATAAATAATTGATTAATTCAATTATAAATTCGCTAAAATGTATGTTTAATTATGTACCAAAACAAATGTTCAACCCAGATATTGCTTATGACAAGTCCAAAAGTATGTTACTTTTATACATTATTTACAGTTATCCATTTTTTGTTTATTAGCTTCACAAGATTATTTGTTATTATAAAACGGTTTAAACTCAATAATACACACAGACACACACACACGCACACACAGACACACAAACACCTACACACAATTTATTTAGCTCTAGCTGAAAACATCGTCAACCTGATGAAAACGTATTGTAGTGAGTGACAAAATTGTTTCAAAAATATTTTTTTATTAATTTTTTTCTTTTCTTTGTTATTCATTTATGTTATTATTATTTCGATATTGCCATAGATTATTAATTTAATAAATTCAATGATGATGATTGATACTGGGAACGGAATGGTGTGTGTGTCAGAAAAATTATTTTTATACTACTACTACTACTACTACAACTACTACTACTGCTACTACTACTACTATTACTACTACTACTACTACTACTACTACTGCTACTACTAAACTACTGCCGCTACTACTACCACCACTACTACTTGTAATTATAATATTTAAAATAATAATTATTCTTCACAATTTGTTGCTATATTTCAATTTCAGGCGCGAATTTCAATCAGACGACAGTCGATGCCATAGGTCTTTTGATTTGTTTTTGATGTTTGGTTCAATAATAATTTAAATAAATACGTACACACACACACGTACACACAAATACACATACACGCATTTTAATATACAAAAGTAGGAAATGTTCATCTATTCATGAATGTAGCTAGAACCAATATTTTCCTTATTCATTCAAATTCTTTAATTTTTTTTATTTTTACAGCCAAATGTAGATTTGTATTTTTTTCAAATTTCTAAAATACTTTCCAACAACTGCCCACCAGATAAGTTGCTCGGCATCAGCAGCCTAACGACTACAAGCTCTACCGCGACACCACTCGGAACACGTATGTCGTGTGAATATTCTAATGATATCATGCTGTTGCATCAATGTGCTTTTTGAGAATTTATAACAAATTAATAAGCCTTACATTGAGTTATTTATTCTTTGAATGTTTATTTGAGGAACTAATTAATAAAAACTAAAAAACCATCACCCATTTCAAAGTGACAACCCCTCAGCTGATTGGCATCGTGGTTGGATCCATCTTTGGCGCGGGACTCCTCCTCCTTCTCCTCTCCGTCTTCGGTTCTTCCATCCTTTCCTGCCTAACATCCTTCTGCTCCTGCTGCATCGGCTTTCCTTGCTGTTGCTGTCGCGGCTTCTTCGCAGCATCTTTCGGAGCTTGCGAATCCGACTGTAGACCAATTTGTACGCCTGTCACTGCCGAATGCACCCCTTGCGCTACCCCTTGCGCTACTCCAAGGCCAGTGTTTGTACCTCCTGTTAAACGTTTCGTTTCGACTACCGCCATGGCGAGCTGCGCACCGGCTGCTAACTATTCCGTCAATGTTAACAACTGTAGTGGGTTATCTACGTCGTCGCAGTACTGCGGGGCGGCCACCAGTGGCTATCGAAGCGGCTCCATGTGCGCTAGAAAGAACTGCCACACGTACCTGCCCCAAATGCCAGTGAGTGGAAATGGCATGATGGGCTGCAGCAGTCGAGTTACTAACATTGTTAATAAGCGTGTCGATGATTGTGGCTGTTGATGTGGTAGCTGCGGTGGTAGTTGTAGTGGTGGTGGCGTTTGATGGAAGATTCGGAAGTTTATCTTGATAAAATTTATTTAATCAGGACTCTTTACTTTTATAGATGATAGTGAATCAATGTTTTTGAATTCTCATTGCATTGTTGTTGATAATTTTTAAATCAAAATAACGTAAAAGAGATATTGTGATGATGTGATGTTCAGTAAGCTTCTCATCAAGAGGTTTCTACATATTTCATTCAAACAGCTTTCATCAGAAGTTGTTATTTCCTTGCAAGGGTACAAAATATTTTCATGAAAACATTTGTTTCCATCTGTAACTTCGACTTTCAATTTCAAATTTATTTAGAATAAAATATTGTTTCATCATCCGAAATTGACGTCATAGTGTGTGGAATAATTCAACAACGTAGACTCTTTAATTATAATTAATTATAGTGAATCATAATTACTGGGCGATAATGAGTGGATGTTAATGAGTGGACGATAATGAGTGAATGTTAATGAATGGGCGATAATTAGTGGACGATTATAAGCGGAAAACCGTCCGAAATTTCTGAAAATTTTATTATTTAGTACATCCCCAACACAGATGTCACTAGCTTTGTTCCTAAGGTCTTAAATGATATTATTTTTAATAATTTATTGAAAACAATACAGTTGAATGATTGAATGAATGAATGAATGAATGAGTGAGTGAGTGAGTGAGTGAGTGAGTGAGTGAGTGAGTGAGTGAGTGAGTGAGTGAGTGAGTGAGTGGGTGAGTGAGTGAGTGAGTGAGTGAAGAAATGATTGAATAAATGATAGAATAATTGATTGATTGAGTGAATGAATGAATAAATGAATGAAGGAACGGGCGAAAGAACGATTGATTGTTTACTAAGTGACTCAACGAATGAATAAAATACACTGTTGTAAAAGCTATTAAAATCTAATATTCTCACTCTTTTAGAGGTAATTGTAGTTTCATATATTTGAAAGGAAAAATAAAAAAATGTTTATTTCGGAAATAATTAACTATTTTATTTTTTTCTTTATTATTTAAAATTTAATTTATCATCAAAAAAGAAGAAAAACTGTCTTTGTGAATGTCTTAGTTCAGAATATATTGAATTAAAATTGAAATTATTCCAAAAGAAATTATTTGAAGTGGTGTACATTTTATTTTCATGAAAATTTGAACATTTCCATGAATAAATAATTTGAAATTCGAAACATATGTATTTCACTGGGCGCGCGTGTATGTACTACTAGCTTTTGAACGTGTCAAAAAGTTGGAAAAAATCAAAATGAGTGCGGTATAACGCTAAAACACGTACAACAAAAAACTTAAATAATATCACAGACATAGAACTAACAATGTAATAATAATAATAATACGTTACAAAGGTAAGAGTGATGAAATAATGAAGAAAAAAAAGTGAGATGAGGGAGGAAGAAAAAGAAAATGACTAAGAACTACAAACGAGTCAATCCATTGCTCTCCATGAACATGACATCGTGAGTCAACCTCCTCCTAGCGCTACCCCCATTAACCACCCCATTACAATCCCCAAACTCACTCCTCCTCCTTCCTTTATTGACCTGCCACCATGTGGGGCAACAGCACCCTCCATCGGCCCTTCCAGACCGCCACCTAACAAGTAACTGCTTCATCCCTCGACGAAAATTAACATTATAATAGCAGTATACAAAAGGATTGACGCAGCTGTTAAGACAAGCCAGCCACTGGGCTATCGGCTTGATGTAAGTCTTTAAAATTTCTGTAAATCTATTGCTGGGTATTTCGACCCTGGCAAAGAGCATGTAGACGTGCATGGAGTAGAAGGGAAGCCAGGAGAGGGCGAAGAATAGAGAGACCATAGACAGCATCATCAGGATTCGTTTCTTGCTCCGGGCCAGGTGCTGAACGGCAGATGATTGGTCGTTCATTCCTCTGATCTGTGATTGGTTGTTTGGTGGGTGAAGTTCAAGGTTGATTTCATTATAGGCATTATTTATATTTTCATTAATAATCATAACATATGTGTATATATATTTCATATGCGTTCAGCTAATATATATTATTGGCATAACAAAATCAAAAAACGTTGTAAAAAAAATTGAATTTGATCGATAATTACGACTTAAAAAAGATTCTTTTCAAATTTTATAAAATGATAACGTTCCCAAATAAATAATTTTCACGGCGTTTGTGTTTGAATTTTAATTAAACAGGCAAAGAAATCTTTTTGAAAGTGTTGTTGGCAGGTTGAAAGGCGTTTGTAACGCCAGATTATACAACCGATTACATTATAGCAACAATGACGTCACCCAACATTTCTATTGCAAAAAACAACGCAACAAAAATATCAACAACGCGACAAAATCATCATCAACAACAAAAGCAATAAAAATGCTATAGCAACTCAAAAATTGTCCTTGAAACATCGTAAATAGGACGTCACCATCATCAACAACAACAACAATAACATTAGCAACAATAACAAAAACAACATCAACAATAATAATAATTGCATCCCAGCCAGCAAACCAAACCAAAAACATATGGTAGAACCGCGAAAAAAAAACAGAACAAAGCAAAGCAAAACAGAGATAAAATCTAAAACAAATATTACCATAGAAAAATGGACAAAAAATCAACAAAATGCCAGCGTGTGGGGAGTGAAAAACCATTAACTAGGGACATTTCTGACAGAAATGATTGCTGAAAAACAAATTTGCACTTTAAACACAGAAAAGAGTGGTCAAAAAGTCACTATGAACATTGAAAAAACCATAGACAATTGAAAAAGAAACAAAGAGTATTAATAACTGAAAACATTAAAAAAACAGAGAATATTATATATTAAAAAGAGATAACATTGAAACGAAAAAATGGAAAAATAAAGCAGATAAAATCTTATCACAAAATAATCGAATTGAACAAATTTAAAAAACAGAGGGACAGCCAAAGTCAATAACATCGCATTAAATGAATCATCATAGCATCAACAACAACATCAACAACGAAACAAAAATATGGCAACAACTTCAACAACATCAACAAAATAATTACTTGCAAATTGTTGTTAGCACATGTCTGAGCAATGAACAATGATCATTCACATACATCAACCTGTTCGCAGCTGCTGCTACTACAACAACTACTATTTACTACTACCACTGCTGCTGCTACTACTACTGTTACTATCGCTAAAGTTGCTGCTATCATTACAACAACTTTTCCAAAATATCTGCAAATGCTAGAACCATCAATAAGGATTAACAAACAAATGACGAAGCAATAAATGGCCGACAATAATAAATACTGGAACAAAGATAAAAAAAAATCATAAACAACGAAACATAGATATCAAAACCTAAACAACGGAAGTAAACATTGTTACATAAACAACAAAAATGTAAACAACTCAACATGAACAGAGAAAAACATCAACATCAAAATTCCTCTTAAAAACGAAACTTGAAAAAAAGCACAAAATCGTCAGCAAAGATATATTAACAACGACATGAAAACGTAAACAAAAAGAGAGAAAAATATTTTACTGAAACAGGAGATTAAAACAACAAAACGCTAAAAAGTTTAGCCACCATAGATTCAAACGACTAACAAAAACCTTAAATAATTAGTGAGCTTAGATGAACAGCAATACACAGCAACACAACAATACAAAGACTTCAAAAAATAAATCTAACAACATTTGAAAAACAATAATATTAACAACAACAACAACTAAAACACAGTCATCATTATCATCAATAACAACTACAAAAATACCACAACACATCACCAACAACAACAACATTAACAACAAAAACATAGACATAAAAATATGAACATAAACACGGCAGAATGGAATGTCTATGCATATAATGACGTAACCCTTACAATTTACGAGAAAAAACAAGTTTCAAACGACGATTTTTTATCGCCAACAAATTTCACCACGATGGCGATGATGATGATGACGATGATGGTGACGATGATGACGACGATGATGATGATAATAAGGATGATAACGATGACGAAAAGGATGATGTTTCATTTTGACACGAGAATAAAAAAAATTATTATTAATGACGTCATCATATTATGGCGTCATTATTAAAAACTTAATTATAGCAACGGCAACAACAACAACAATAACAAAATAAATAACAATAACGCTACTAAGACAACAAAATCATCATCAACGACGACAAAGAATAAAGTAAACGCCCAACTGAGGGCAAAGATAAAACAGCCAAAAAATAAACAAAGCATCACCCGGCGCCAAAGAATAATAAAATTGTGATTGAAACATTAAACCATAGACAACATGAAAACGACAACTGAAGAGCAGGATTATTAGGCGCAAGAGCTATTGCAGATAGGACATCATGGTTGTTGTTGTTGTTGATGTTGTTGTTGATGTTGTTGTTGTTGATGTTGTTGTTGTTGATGTTGTTGTTGTTGATGTTGTTGTTGTTGATGTTGTTGTTGTTGTTGATGTTGTTGTTGATGTTGTTGTTGTTGTTGATGTTGTTGTTGTTGATGTTGTTGTTGATGTTGTTGTTGTTGTTGATGTTGTTGTTGATGTTGTTGTTGTTGATGTTGTTGTTGTTGATGTTGTTGTTGATGTTGTTGTTGTTGATGTTGTTGTTGTTGTTGATGTTGTTGTTGATGTTGTTGTTGTTGATGATGTTGTTGTTGATGTTGTTGTTGTTGATGTTGTTGTTGTTGTTGTTGATGTTGTTGTTGATGTTGTAATTGTTGCTGTTGTTGTAGTTGTTGTGTAGTTGTTGTTGTAAAGTAATGGCGATAATGTTGTTGATGTCGATACTGTTGTTGACTTGAGTACATCAAACTTTCTTAAATATATATATATATATATTTATTTATATATCTACGTACACATATTTACAACCATTCATCAAAACAAACATACATACATACGTTTACAGACACCACACACACACACATACATACATATACACAGAAACACACACATACATACACACATACATACATACACATACATATTTTACGATAATGAGGCTAAAGTATCGCTCGCGTGCAACTATAAATAAATGTGGTTAAATCATGCATACATGCATGCATACATCACACATACATATTTCATATTTTTTCAATGGTTTGTCGCATACATTTTAAACCCAGAAAAGATTCTTTCTACCTTTGCAAATAAATTAATATTACAATCATTGTTATTATAATTATTAGTGTTGTTGTTGTTATTTTTATACACAAACATACAAACACACACACACACACACACACACACACACACACAGACTTACAATCGAACACTGATAGTTTTCCAGACATACACACAAACACATGTCTACACGCTTACACACATACAAACACACGCTTGTACAAACACACTGATGTAAAGACACATACATAAAAACACGCACAGGGACTTTTATAGAGATAAACATACACGCAAACACAAACAAACAAACACACACACGTTCAACGTTCTGACAATTGAAAAAGTCTCAGCTCCCACTATGCTTTTTTGATTAACAATTACTTTTTCTTCTCTACCAGTTCAACTTGGTTCAACAACCCTAAACGCCCACACCTGAACACACACACATACAAACAAACACACAAACAAACATACAAACACACACACACATACAAACAAACCCAAACGGATAATTAATTTAGTATATCTGCAAACAGTGAACGCATACGCGCGCATCATATGTGCCTCTGCTCCGATTGGCCAACGGGCATTTCACCCCGACATAAACACATACACACATACATGTAAATATTCAAACACAAAGACACACACACGTACAAACACACATACATATCTGGATACACATATATTATTCATGGTGGTCTTGCAGAAGCTTTTCTGATTGGCCGTCTTGAAAGTATGACGTTTCTGGATCGTGACACGCCGGCGGTTTGAGAGCGCGTTAAATAACAATTGAGTTAATTTAATTCTCCCATAACGGTAATACACCATTGTTTGTTTGTTGGTAAGTTTGTTGGTATGTTTGTTGGTTTGTTTGTTGGTTTGTTTGTTTGTTGGTTTGTTTGTTGGTTTGTTTGTTGGTTTGTTTGTTGGTTTGTTTGTTGGTTTGTTTGTTTGTTTGTTGGTTGATGTGTTTGTTTGATGGTTGATGTATTTGTTTGTTGGTGTGTTTGTTTATTTGTTTGGGGATGTATATGTTTTTATGTTTGTATATTCGTTGGTTTTGGGGTTTGTATGTTTCTTTGAATGTTTGTTTGTATGTTTGTACGTAAGTATGTTTGTACCCTTCTTTTGTACGTGTGTTTGTTTGACGTGTTTGTCATTGATGTAGATGTTATTTCCAAAACATGGCCAGCATCTAATTAAAAAAATCCTTGCAATATGTCGTTCTGTTATGATTTTTGAAGTGCTCTGATGTCACACTGTCAACTATTCGAGATAGTAAGTGGATGTTTGGTAGTGTTTGCTGCTACTTCTACTACCACTAATACTACAACTACTTTGGCTGCCACTACTTTTACTACTTTTACTACTACTACTACTACTACTACATTTTACTACCACTACTAATGATAATAATTATAATAACAACAACAACACTTCCGTTTTGCTGCCACCACTACTACTACTGCTACTACTACTATTACAGCTGCCACTACTACTACTGCAGCTGCAATTATTACTACCACCACCACCACCACTACAACTATTACTACTACTACTACTACTACTACTACTACTACTAATGCTACTTGCTAAAAATAAATAAGAGAGTCATAGAATTGAATATAATCCAGGCAATCTACATGCATCAACATATAAATCCAGTTCCTCTCTGGAATGTGTTTTTAATAATAATAATAATCATAATAATCTTAGTAATTAAAATAACATTAATAATAAGAATAGTAATAATGATATTAGCAATAACCTAAAAATGCTTCTACTCTTGTCACTACTACTACTACCACTACTACTACTACTACTACTGCTGTTACTACTACTATTACTACTATTATTACTACTACTATTACTACTACTACTACTACTACTACTACTACTACTACTACTACTACTACTGCTGCTGCTGCTGCTGCTGCTGATGCTGCTGCTGCTGCTGCTACTGCTTCTACTACAAACTTTTTCCTTAATATTTTTAACAATTGATAAATATTAATTTTTGGAGGTTTATTGTGTTGTACAACTTACTACGTGTAAGGAGCTCTCCTGTTTGCGACCGAATCCGACTACCACATCAAAGAAACAGGAGCTCTTAACCACTACTCTACCACACTCTGCCACTACTCTGATACTACTCTACCGCTACTCTACCATTACTCTACCACTACTCTGCCACTACTTTACCACACACCCACTCTACTACTACTCTTACACACTCTAGCACACAATAAATGTATGATTATCACTGTATCAATTACTTTTTTGTTCATTTATTTCCTGATTGCTTTTTATAGTTTATAGACAGGACGGCTTTGGAATGGATCAGACGATTGTGGGTGGGACTGCCATGTTTTTTTTCCACCACCACCGCCCTTGTGAAAGTTATTTTTTGTTGGTGATGTAGCGAGTCTTTGCGCTGCTGTTGCAGAGAGCCTGGGTTCAAATATACATTGAATCGAATTATTAATGAGCCATTTTTGTGGCTAACCATATCTGTAATTGTTTTTAGTAGTAGCAGCAGCAGTAGTATTAATAGTAGTAGAATTAGAAGTAGTAATGGTAGTAGTAGTAGTAGTAGTAGTAGTAGTAGTAGAATTAGAAGTAGTAATGGTAGTAGCAGTAGTAGTAGCAGTAAGTAGTAATGGTAGTAGCAGTAGTAGTAGTAGTAATAGTAGTAATAACAGTAGTAGTAGTAGTAAAAGTAGTAGTAGTAGTAGTAGAAACGGTAAAAGTATTCACATTCATATGCTCTACACTTCGCATGTTCAATTATTTACAACAAATTTTTTTTCCAAAGAAAGAAAAAGATTATATGACTTTGAGGTGAAGATAAGTCGAAGGCGTCACGTTACGTAAGAATGACGTCATTTCTGATGAGAGATGGCCGCTTTGTTTTTTTGTTTTTACCTGGAGGGTAATTGTAGGCTGACAGACTACTGTTATGGTTTAACTAAAATCTTATGTTTTTAAAAAAAAACTTTTTTTTCTTGTTTTTATTTTTGTGGTTGTAACTTGAAAGCATGTATGCGTAGCTTACGGTGCTATGGGTGGTTAGGTTGAAATATAAAATGATTTATTTCGTATTATTGTTTATTTCGAATTATTGTTTATTTCGAATTATTCTTTGTTGGTTTTGTTGTTGATGACGTTTTTGTTGTTGTTGTCGTTTTGGTAATGTTATTTGGTTGTTGTAATCGCGTTAATGCCATTTCGTCTGTGCCACGTCGTAACTACAATCTTGTTGGTGTAGTGATGCTGTTGTTGGTGGTGTTATTGATGTTGTTGTTGTTGTGTTTCGTAATAATAAAAATATTAACTACATTAACAAAGGTGTTTAACTCACAAAAAAAAACAATAAAAACATTTTTCGCAAAACTAAAATAAATCAATCTCTTAAGAATTTTTTAATTAAAAGAATTAAACCGTAATTTAGTACGTGCGATAGAGAAGTAAAATATCGCCTGTCATCCAATTGTTTTTGTTTTTTCACTAATAAAACGAACACACGCACACAAATACACACACACACAAAACAAAACATTATTTATTATTAATACGCACACACGCATACACGTACATATATAATTATTTCCATTCATGTTATTATTTTAATATTATTGTTATTTAATTTGTTATTATTATTATTTAAAGTTGCCCATAGTTCGATTCTTGAAAACATGAGCATATGAGGCGTTATGATTTAAATTTTTGGCGACCCACACGACCCTCTTGTGTTCTTCAAAAGTTTCGACCCAATCTCCAGTTATAATAAAATTCTTGTGTTTAACACACACACACGCACCTACGCACAAACACACTCGCTAACACACAAATACAATAACGATCTAATAAAAATCATATAAAGATGATTTACAAAAACATAAAAAAATGATTGCAATGATAAAAATATTGGCTCTAAACACACATGCATACATACACACACACACACAAACAATTTTTTGAATATACACATACATAAATGTAGACACATACACACACTGACACACAAACTAACTCTTACACAAACACACACCAACAACAGCATACATACAAGCAGAATTACAAACATTTTTGTGTGAAATGACATTTTAAAACGCAAAGAAAAAAATCACCACACCTCGTACTGTTGACGCAACAAAAAGTCATTAAAGTTAAATCGTTAAAATCGTCTGTGAAAGTAAAAAAATAAAAAAAAAGATAACAAAAATAAAATACAAAAACGTAAATAAAAAAGAAAAAATTGTAACAAAATTGGAAAACTGAGCAAAATTTGAATGAAGAATCGTTTTCTTCTTCCTCGTGCCTTATCCTTTCAAGACATCGGCGACCTTCGACCTCCACAGAACCCGATCTTTAACACTTTGTAGTAGTTGAAATGTGGTGATATTCAACAAGTGACAGACGGACCTCACGAATATTATTTGTTGTTGACTGCAATCTCTCTTCCCTGCAATCTTTCCAGTAGTTGTTAGATTTTCCATTCTTTCCTTCAGCACGATGTGACCAAAAAAACTTTAACTGCCCCCGTCGGATTATCTGTAGTAATTTCATCTTTTCATATCCAGACTGTTTTGATAATACATCCTCATTCGAAGTATGAGAGGTTCAACTAATTTTCAAAATTTTTCTAAAAAACCACAACTCAGCAGCGTTAATCTCTTTTCCATATCTTTATAAATTGTCCAGGACTCAGAGCCGTGAGTTAGTATAGGAAAAATGTAACACCCTAACAGTTTTAATTTTGTTGATGTTTAATAATTATCATATAGTTTAATAAATTCTGATTAATAAGAATTTTATTTCTAGTTATTTTCGTTTTTTTGCAATATATCTTCTTTGATTCTCAGTCAGTCGCGTGTTTTGTTGCTTTAACGGCTTCCTGAAGGCGATTCAAAAATTTCAAAAAACTTTTTTTTCTTGCTAAAAAATTATTCTTTCAACATAAATTTTTAAATTTGAAAAAAAACAAAAATAAGTCACATAAACAACTATTTTTAAAATTTAAAAATGTGAAAATAAAAATAAAATCCCAAAGTAAGGAAAAAGATTTCCATCCCAAAGGAATTGAAAATACATTAGATTAGGAGTAATAATTTTTTTCCCAAAAAGTTTTTCAAAATTTGGTACATTCGGACAAAAATATTTTTTCCATCATTTGCAGGTGCTGATAACAAAAATTTCACATCATTCCTTTTGGAGGAAGAAATTATTCATATGTGCCAAAAAAAATTTCTTTTTCTATGTTTGTTTGTTTGTGTGTGTGTGTTTGTGGTATGTGTATGTGTGTGTGTATATGTGTGGTGTGGGTGTGTGTGTAAAAAAGAGAAAGAGAGAAAATGAAATAAAGAAATGAAATAAAGAAAATGAATTCGACTGAATGTTTTCATTCTAAATTTAATTGGATTTTTTCATTTTTTTATTTCACGCTGTCAACTATAAAAATTTGACAAATGAAAAGATGGACTGATGGATAAATGGATGAATGTCTGAAAAAATTGATAGATGAATGAATGGATAGATGGATGGATGAATAGAGGGATATATATACGCATAGATTGATACATTAACGGATAGTTAAACAGATGAATGCTAGGAAGAACAAATAGTTCAATAGTTTGTATAAAGGTGTATGAACATTTATTTAAGATTAAATTACAAAATTAACTTCACAAACAATCAACAGTAAAATGTTACTTAGCGTACGTCAGCCGATGCCAAATGTAAAATTCAATCAGAAAACATGCGAAACATTTCTTTTTTAACGAAACGATATAAAAAATTATTTTTTTTCACAATAAATAACATTTTTTACAGCTTTCAACGGTAATTTTTGTTGCAAATTTACATTCTATTTTATTTGTACAGATTTTTTGGTCTGCAAGATGCTGATTAACTAATAGATCATATTAAAATCGTCAATACTACCTCAAAAACTACAACAAAAATGCCAAAAAATCTACTGAACAAATTTCAAACCACCTAAAAAAAAGTAAAATAAGCTAACTTTTCTCCGATAAACCCTGATGCCGATGAGGATGTAGAAGACGGCAACACAACATAGGGGGACTACGTAACAGCAGAGGACTGCCACAAACAGGGTAAAAAATTTCTGGGTCTTTTGGTCTGTCCACATGGCTTGGCAGGCTACGTACGGGTGGCCCTCTGTTTTTTGGAGGGAGGTTAGTTTTTAGTTGGTTGGTTGGATGGTTGGTTAATCAACTAACCAGTTGGTTAGTTGGTTGGTTGGTTGGTTAGTTGGTTGGTTGGTTGGTTGGTTAGTTGGTTGGTTGGTTGGTTGGTTGGTTGTTTAGTTGATTGTTTGGTTTGTTTGTTTGTTTGTTGGTTGGTTGGTTGGTTGGTTGGTTGGTTAGTTGGTTGGTTGGTTGGCTGGTTGATTGGTAGGTTGGCTGAATGGTTGGTTGGCTGAGTGGTTTGTTGGCTGGTTAGAGGTTAAACAAAGAGTTAGGTAGTTTTTTTTTGTGAGTTATTTGTATTAATAAATACCCATTCTAATTTTTTAGAATTTTCTTATTTTTAATTAAGAAATGGTTCCTTGTATATTTTTATTTGCCTATTTAATTAATTCTTCCACATTGTATGCCTATGCATATTAATTTGTATTTCATGTTTGCTCTCAAAGTCGTGTTTATATGTGACTTTATATTATTAGTGTTTGTTTGCTTATTTGTTTGTTTGTCCTGGGCTGTTGGTATATTTCATGTTGTGTGTGTGTGTGTTTATGTGTATAAATATAGATATGAATATGAGAACTCCGTTGAGCCAAATCATCGAGAAATCCTCAGAGGAGTTCCCGTCGTCAAATGTTTCGGCCCTTAACAAGGCTTCTCGAAGACTGTTGATTTTTCAGCGGTGTTAATCTGCTATGCATACCAAATTTAGCATTTGATTTTTATGCGAAGTCGTCTCACTGTAGCCATGGCTTGCTAATTCAGCAGACATTCCTCTTTATTACTATTCAGCCACAACCAAAACGAAGCTTGCTCTGCGCTACTAATAACTTTCTTCAGGCATGCTGAACGCTTTCTGCCTTGACAGTCCCATCTCTTTGAAGGATTTATATGTATAAATATAGTTATGTGGGTTCATATGTATGTATGTTTGTATGTATGTTTGTATGTATGTTTGTATGTATGTATGTATGTATGTATGTATGTATGTATGTATGTATGTATGTATGTATGCATGCATGTATGTATGTATGTATGTATGTATGTATGTATGTATGTATGTTTGTATGTATGTATGTATGTATGTATGTATGTATGTATGTATGTATGTATGTATGTATGTATGTATGTATGTATGTATGTATGTATGTATGTATGTATGTATGTATGTATGTATGTATGTATGTATGTATGTATGTATGTATGTATGTATGTATGTATGTATGTATGTATGTATGTATGTATGTACTAAAGATTGTTGTGTGATAAGGATGTTGATGTTAAATCCATTTCATTCAGAGCATTTTGTTTTGATTTCACGTTTGTGTGTGTGTGCGTGTGCGTGTGTGTGTATGTGTAAGAGAATGAATGAGCAAATGAATGAATATTTAAGATGATGAAAGAATGGTTGAATGAACAAATGGAAGAATAAATTATTGTGTGTATGTATATATTTGTAAGGAAAAAAAAGAAGAAATGAGTGAATGAATATATATATGTGTTGATACGCGTGTGTGTTTGAGTGTATTTCCGTGTATGTATATGTATATGTGTGTGTACGTCTGATTCTACAGAAACATGTTTGCCCATTCTTATAACCACCATATTCTTATTCAGAGGCACGGACAAATATACATATATCAATTCAAGCTTAGCACGATCTATATTTATTCGCATGTAATAAAGTTTTTCTCTCTCTATTGACTGCTTTCAACTTGTTAGATGTTTTTAAAACTCAAACACAGTTCATTCTTGTTATTATACTACATATGTTTTCTTAAATTGAAAGAAGTTTCTCTATGAATTTGAAGCTTGCCTAACAACGTGTTGTAATAAGGTTAATTAGAATGATTGCACTGGTCAACATGTTCGCCTTGATTCAAATGAGAATGAATTGATCTACGTTTCGTTTTCCTTTTGTTCGTTTTGAGAAAAAAATAAAATAAATCTAGCAAAATTACTTTTTCCCTAACTTCTATATTTTCTGGCTCACAAATCAAAATTTTTTTTTAGTTTCCCCATTTTAAAACAAAAAAAATAGTTTTCCTAGGATATAAAAACAAGAAAACATAGAAAAAACTTTCAGAAAGCATGTACATGGTGAATAATTGCATGGAAATATTTATTAGACGAGTATGTACGTCCAGAAAAAAAATCATCATTTGCTCAAGACAAATTTGTTTTTCAACTGCAAACGCACATGTTCGCACACACATGTTCACACACACACACTCACTTACTCACACACACATGCGGTGGTATGCAACGGTTTATTTGTTCAACTTGAAAATAAAAATTTTTCCCAACACATATGCAATTTATTTGATATATTTTAAAAATGTACAATAAATAACAGAACTTATCAATCAATCAATCAACCAACCAATTAAACAACCGAACAACCAACTCACTAATTTATAGTATGAATTTTGTCAATCTGAGATTAGGAGTAATATCAACTATATGAATTACCAGTCAATCAGACAAACAACCAACCGGCTAACTAACTTATCGTGTGGATCTTCTCAATGTACACCACAACCCAGGGTACGAAAATCAGTAGAGGTATCAGCCAGATGAAGCAGACGCTAACCAACGCCGACCTAGGCTTCATTTTTGAAGTTTGCGGTGAGAAAATCATCACGTACCTGTGTGTATGAGTGTGTGCGTGTGTATGTACGTGTGAGGGTGTTAAAATCGTGTTTTTTATTCATTTGACAACGATTTTAAGACATTAATCTCGACTTTATTTTTTTATTCTGGTCTAGAAAACAAAATTACAATGCAATATTTCACCATTTCAAAAAAGAGAAAAAGGATGAAATAGAAATATTAACGAGTAAACAAAATGTGACTTTCTCACTAAAATAAAGTCATCGGTGTGATAATGAAAAACTAAAAATCATTAGATATAATAAAAGTTTATCACAGATAAAAACAATTATATCATAGAAATATGTAAATAAAATAAAAACGTTAATTAATTTAAAAACTAATAAATAATAAAACCATAAAAAATTATGCATGTAAAATATGAACGAAAAAAAGACTAATTATAATTCTCTCATAAAAATGCTTTAATGAACCAGCGAAACTTCAGTATCTGTTTGACTTTTTTTACTGATCAGTTCTACCAAGCCAAACATCCAGTTTTGCAGCGCCGTTTTGAATGGGTTGAACTATCTGAGCCACACCAGCCTAGGACCAAACATGAACGAGTTACAATGATTCAGTCCCCTTTAAAAGTTCATAAATACCCCATTCAATAGCGGCCCCATCGTAGTAAATGGCAAATTCCTCCACTTCTTCTACTTCTTGGAAAGACTTCGAAATCTGTGGTTGCCTTTTTTCGAAATCCTCAATTTCTTTTTTCAAATATTCAACATGTTCTTTTTCAATATCGCTGAGTGTTTTTATGTCCTCGCTCATGCGGTTATTTTGACTCTTAGCGTCATCCGAGGACTCATCCGATTTGGATTTACTGGGGGATCTGTTGAGGAAGTTTGTAACTTTTGTGCGATGAGTATCGTATGGACTGTCATTCTCATCACGTTTTCTTTTTTTGCTTTCACGTTTTTCATTTATTGACGTTTCGTATGGAACTTGCGGTTTATAGGAAGTTCTTTCGTTGTAATTAAATGATTGAGCGTTTCGACAACTTGTCGCATTTATTTCTTTAGAATATTTTTGACTGGCATTATAGGAATGTTCGTTTCGACCTTTGGCCATATAACTTTCGTGAGAGCGTTTTCTCTTTGTGCCTTGTTTGTAAGAAGTTCTTTGATAGTAATTAGAGTACTTTTCGTCACGAGAACTTTTCGCATATCTTCCTCGAGAATCGTGTCGATTTCTATCTCTAGATGAATGGTAATAATTAGCCCGGTCGTCTTCTCTGTGACGTTCACTGGGTCGAGATTGATAATAATGAACACTTCTTTCCGTGGCTCGAAATCTGGATTTTTTTCCTTCATAATCAAAGTCACAGCAGTCACAGTAGAGACTTCTTGATCGTCTTCTGTTGTATTCATCGTCGTTGGAGGAGGAATCGTAACGAGGAAGTCTTCCATTTCTTGATCTGGATCTTCTTCTATCATAACTATTGTTATATCTGGCGCTGTCGGAATACATAATGAGCTGTATTATATTGTATAATGTTCGTTAAAATAAAAAATCACTGTCACAATCTGTAGGCTACTGGGAAATTTTCTAAGCTACGATGTTCGTCGATGTTAAAAATCTCTGGCAAAATTTATAGGTTACAATGATAATTCTTAGTTACGCAAGGCTGAATAAAAGTTAAACTTTTCAAAAAATCATCTTCAATCTTTTCTTATATACCTTTCTGGTTCAAGATGAATAAAGAGCTTTTTGTTGAAATGTCACGCAAAGTTAACTTTGGGTGACACGTTGTTTGACACGCAAAGTTTATTTGGCTCGATGTCTTTTGATGTTGTTTGACACGCAAAGTTTATTTGGGTTGATGTCTTTTGTTGGTTAATTAGTGAGAATACATACAGAATTGTATCAATATTAATGAGATTGCCTAATTATACCAATATCGTTCAAAAAGTCACGATCTAATTTTTATCACTTTAATGTTTTATCTGATAATAAAGTTATTAAGTTTCTTTTAAAGTGAACTAACAAAGTAATTAATCATCTGATAGTGAAAGCTACACAATTCATCGCAAAGTGAATAAAAGATTAACGAGTCTTAATTGATTCTGACGGAGAAACTTTACTAAGTAAACTTCGCAATTAACCAATTAAAGCCTTAAATCGAATCGTAAAATTAATGCACTAAAGTTAGTTAGAATAGTTAACGTAAAGTAAATCGTAAATGGTCTAGTTAGAGTCAGTTCCGTTGTTTTAATTTAAAATTCACTAAGAAATGATCTTTCGATCAACTAGTTTGTTATTTGTCATTATCAGTCGGTGTCAGAAGATAAAGTATAACAAACAATTAAAAACTTTTTTTATACAATACTTCTCTACTATTCTACTACTACTGCTACTACTACTGCTGCTGCTGCTGCTGCTGCTTCAGTTGCTGCTACTACCACATCTACTATTATTATTACTCGACAGAGTTTAAAAGACAGCTAAAAACTTAAAAAAATAATAATAAAATAGAATAAGAATAGTAAATATGTAAAATAGTAATATAATATAATAATAATATATAGGAAAATTTATATATAATAATATTAATTATTATTATATTATAATAACCTTTCGGCTGCCACAGCCACTAGCGTGTTGACGGAGCTACTGACTGCCACACCTTGCAGATATGGAAACAGCTTGCAAACCACAGGGCCAAAATGCCATTCTTTAATAAAATTTGGTAAAAAATAATTTAATATGTTTAATTATAGTTAAATATTATCATTAATGTTGTGATCATCTATAGTATGAAGGAATGCTTGATTTTAAATATGTTCATAGCAATAAATTAAATTGTAGAATGACTTTCATGAGCAGAAACTGTATTTTCGTCTTAATAGTGGAATTTTTTAAGTAAATGATTAAAAAAAAAGTTTATCAAATCAAAAAGATGATGACGATGATGATGAAAGATGATGACGGCAATGATGAATGATGACGATTATGACAATGATGAAGAAGATGACGACGACGATGACGCTGCTGCTGATGATGATAATAACATATGTTGCAGAAAGGATGAAAAAATAAAATATATGACACGAACGTATCAATGATTAAATTACGTAGCACGACGGTAGTGGCAATAAAAATGCAATGATGCAACTCTTTCTCTCTACTCTCTCACTCTCTTCCCTTTTCTCTTTCCCCCTCTCTCTCTTTTTCATTCAATCTCTCTCTCATTCTCTCTCTTGCTGTATCTATCTTTTGCTGTCTTTCTGTTTTTGTCTTTTTTTCATTTTTTCTGTTCTCTCTCTCTCTTTTCAAGTTTTTTTGAGTTGTTTTTGTTTCTTTTTATCTCTTTCCCTTTACGTTTTTTCTTTCTTTCTACTTCTCTTTTTTTTTCGCCCTCTTCCTATAGAGTTGTCAACGAAATGTTTCTTAATGGCATAAAAATGGCGTTTGAAGAGTTGAAAAGAGGTAATAAAAAAATGTGAAGAAAGAGAGAGAGAGAAAGTGAGAGAGAGAGAGAAAGACAAACTGATACAAGAAGAATCAAATAAACTGAAAACTGTTAGAATTTGAGAGAAAGAAAGGAATGGTAATGATCTTATGTGATTTATGATAATGATAGTGCTTGTACTAGCGATCTTTATACAATTTTTTCATTTATTCATTCATTTATTATTCATTATTTCTGTTTTTAGTCATTCCACCATTCGCACACACACATTTTTACACACACACACACACACACAATGCCCACATTCCTATTCTCAATCTCACTCTTTCAAAAATAAATTCTTTTTTCTTTCTTTCTCTCTCAAACGAAACCACTGCAATTGAATTATTTTTAAATTTTAGCTTTGGATTGAATGGACCCTCTGAGGCATAAATAATGAACGAATGAAAGAACAAATGAATGAATGAATAAATAAATAAATGAAAAAATGAAAAAATGAATGAACGAACTTGCGAATAAATGAAAAAACCAACGAATAATCAAAATACGAATGGGTAAGTGAAATTTGAACAGTGAATCTTTGACATCTATTTACTTAAAAAAAATAATAACAATAACATTAACAATAAAATAATAATAACTACGACAATAATAAGGGCAATTTTTTATTTAGCTATAAAACAATGAAATTGACAATAAAATGAAACAAACTGACAAAAAGAATAAAATAAGAGTAAAACTAGAATAAAACGTCAAATAGGGTATTAATTTAGTCTACGAAGCTCTTCCTTCAAAGAGTGAGTACAACTAGGGTTAGTTTCAAATTTGATTCAAGTCACATTCCTATCGTAGTAAATAGCGTACGACCATATAACTAGAATAATGCGACGATATGGCAGATTCAATGATTTAACGAAGTGATCAGATCAAATAATGTCTACAAGTTGCCTATACAGGTGAAGGGGAAGTCGTAGGTTGGCGGTTCAAATGCCAATTGTGATGACACATAACTTCGTAGAATTTGTAGCTTCCAGTTTGCCTTCGTATCAAAACTGCATATCACAAACAACAGATTATCCAATTTACCAAGCAACTGGTCTTTGGCCTCTATGTTGTTCCCAATGTGTATATATATATATATATATATATAATATACAATTTAATAATAATAATAATAACCATGATAGTAATGATATTATAACGATAATAACAATAATCATAATGATGAAAAATATCAGCAAAAATAACACTATTGATAACAATAATAATAAAAATAGAAATGACAACAAAACCAAACCAAGACATACACACACCCCCCACTCATCACGTGATATCATCAGTCGCGATCCGCGGAAGGGTTCAAAGTTCAACATAGATTTTTATACGAGGTCAGGTCACGTAGATGGAAAGTTATAATATATACACATTCAATAATTATAATAATATTGATAATAATAATAATAAAAATAAATTGATGAGGATGGATGACGGCATCTACGTAGAAATTGATATAGCGCCTCTTTTGAGTTTACTTCAAAGGGATTTTATAATATTTCATCGAATTAATTTATGTAGTTAAATCACAGACGTAGCAACAGCTCACACGCACAACATTTCACAACACATACAACACACACACACAACACACAACACACACACACAAAACGTGTGATTGAGGATGGAAGATCTTCTTGCATTTGAATCCAGTCGCTACGATTACTGGACCGAGCGCCTTAACAATTAAACCATCTTAATAAATACATCCAAAAAACGTGATTTCAAAAAATATTTTACAAAAAATTAGGGAAATAAAGTTTATATAATATATTTTGCAAAAAAATTTGCTAAAATAACATTAAAAAAGATTGCATAGTATCAATCTGACGAAGGAAGACTTTTGAAAAAAAATTGTTTCTTTTTCTGAAAATCAAGAGAAGAGCAATGTTAAAAACTATTCAAAATCAGCATCTCAACACCCAGGCTTATATGGAAGTATATCTTCTGAAGAAACATGCAAGAAAAAGTGAGAGAGAGAGAGAGAGAGAGAGAGATAAAAGAAAGAAAGAACAAGTAGGTGAAAAATGGTCAGAGAAAAAAAGACAGAAAAAAAGAAGAGAAAGAGAGAAGAAATGTGAAAAAGAATGAATGAAAATATGAATGAAACAAAAAATAAAAAGCAGAAGAATCAAAGAAACAACGACAACGAAGACGAAGTGAAAGCTTGAGAAAGTGGAAGAATGAGAGGCAAGAATGAGAAAGTGAAAAAGATAACAGAAAGATAGAAAAAGAGAAAGAGAAATTGAAAGTGAGAGGGGGGGGGGAAGAGACCAGAGAGACGGAAAGATAGAAGAGGAAAATATGCAGAAGTAGAGCGAGAAAATACATACGTGTCCATAATATCATTTCACAAAGATATTACACGACGCAGTTTGCGTGTTTGTTTGTATGTGTTTATATATGTGTGTGTGTTTGTGTGTGTGTATGTATGTATATGTGTATGACTGACAGACTGACTGATCGATTGATTAATTGATTGGTTGCTTGATTGATAGAATGATTGATTGATTGATTAAATGATTAAACGAATGAATTATTGATCGGTAATGATGACAATAAAAATTGCTTTTATAATTTTTTGAAAGATTAAATACAAAACGTAATCCCGGCAATTTCTTGTGTGAATTTTAATTTGATACAAAGTTTTAAAACTTCTGAAAAGCTAAAAAAAATAAATAAAAAGTTCTAGAAAGAAATCTTTTTAAGAACATTCAACCATATAACATTTTAAAAATCGGAATTGTGCATACTACGCGAAGAATAACATATCAGTTATTATAGTTTATAAGCGTTCCATATACTCACTTTTCATTTCTTGGTAAAAGAATTTTTTGGAAAAGTGGTGTTGCTGTGTGTGTGTGTTTGTGGTGTGTGTGTGTCTGGTGTGTGTGTGTATATTTGGGTGTGTATGTGTGTCTGTGTGTCATAGACTCACTTATATGCCTTATTGAGGACAACTACTGCTTCAAGACCCAGCATCTTATAAAGATATAGTTGAAAAACAACATTAAAGGCCGATGAATTCAAAATGCAGTATTTTGATGTGGGAAGATGTAGTGTACGTGTTTGTGTACGTGTGTATGTGTGTGCGTGTGGGCGTATGGGGGTGTGTAATTTTTTCAAAGTGAAATTTTCACTGATCAAATTTCTTTCGCTCCATTCGCATATTTTCTTCGAAAAAAGTCATAAATTTTCCGATGAAATAGATAAAAAAAATTATATCTCTATTCACCAAAAAATAATTTTTTTGAGTTAACAACAACAACAACAATAATAATAATAATAATAATAATCCTTTTATTTTCTAACTCCAAATATCAATAAAGAAATAATGATAAAATCCTATTAATCTAAAATGCTCGTCACTGCAAGTGAGTACATTTCAGAGGGGGCTGGTTTAATTGTTCAAATGGAGTTCAATCATTCTTATTTTTTTGGCGTTATCAAACAAATTTTATGATAAACATAGAGTTGCAATAAAGTTATAATAATAATAATAAAAATAATAATAATAATAATATTAACAAAAAAAGTATTAATAATAATGTTATTATTATTATTATTATTTCCGTTATCATATTTTATTATTAATTTGAAGCAAATTTTTCCTGAAAAAATATTCTCCGAGTAACATCTGTTCTTTTATTTAAGCCAAACCGTTGCAGCAGCAGTAGTAGTAGTAGTAGTTGCGGTATTAGTAGTAGTAGTAGTTGCGGTATTAGTAGTAGTAGTTGTGGTAGTAGTAGTAGTAGTAAAAGAAGAAGTAGTAATAGTAGTAGAAGTAAAAGAAATAGTAGTAATAGATGAAAAAATAATTCAATAAAACAATAAATAAATGAAATACAAACAAACAAACAAATAGTTGGTTGATTGAGTGAATGGACTTAATCATTCGAATGCTTAAGAATTGAACTATAGAATTTTTGAATAAAAATATATAGCAATCCAAACAATAATAATAAGAACGATGGATGATTTTATGTGTGTGTAACGTGTATGTGTGCGTGTGTGAATGTGTGTGTGTGTGTAGTTATATAAATAAGGAACGGTGATTGGTTCTTTATATATAGCTGTATTATTAACGATAGGTAATATCTCATTCCTCTTTTACCTATACTAAATTGCGCTCTATTTCTAATGAAAATTTTTTGGGAGAGTCATTTTTTTATGTTTGCACGTTCATACAAGGAGTGCATGTTCGTCGT